GGACTGTGGCAGTGAGGGGGGACTGAGGCGGTGAGGGGGGACTGGGGCGGTGAGGGGGGACTGGGGCAGTGAGGAGGGACCGGGGCAGTGAGGAAGGCCCTGGCCAGGGCAGTGACAGGAGTGATCTAAACCACATGCCTTTTCTAGACCAGGAGTCCCACCTTGTCCTCAAGGACAGCTGGGGACACAGTAACCTTTTACCTTCCTAAGATGATGTGTTTATTACTATTTGGGAAATAATGTTGAAAAAGTGCATGATTCTGGTTCATATAAAGGCCAGTTACTGAGTGCTTATCAGGTATCGACCCTGGCAACACGCATATGTTCATTCAATGTCTGATCCTATAACAGATGGAAGGCGGGCGTTATGCCACCGCCACGTTCTAAAGGAGGAAACTGAGGTCGGAGAGGTTTGTGACAAGCCCCCCGGCAGCTGCCTGACAAGGGCTCTGGCTCCAACGCTGAGACCACGCACGGCAGCACGTGGGTCAGATCTGGCCACAGCCACGTTTGGCCCCAGAGCCACCATTTGGAAGTTGGAACTGTTTCTCCGCGACAGGGAATGTCCGCTACCGCCTGCCACATGCCCACCTGGCAGTCACCGGGCAGGCCTGAGGGGGACTCGCTGAGAGGATCAGAGTCCTGTGGGTGCCCGTGCCCTCGCCCAGCCCGTCACTCATTGCCGCGCCTGGTGGCCCCCACGCGCCCCACCTCCTGCTCTGACCTGGGTGTTCGTCCACCACCTCGCTTCCAAGGGAAAGCGGTCCCTGAGCGTTTTCCTTAAACAGATCGTGTTGTGCCCGGGCGGCCATCGCAGGCTGGGTCTCCTTATCCTCCCCAGAGGCTGCTGCTCCTTTGGTCTTACGCCCAGTGGAACCGCCAAACATTTCCTGGTTCGAGGAAACCCCTTCTGAGCGCCAACAACGATGCCGGGAGAAACCCGGGCTCTTTCCTCGGCTTCCTCCTGTCTCGGCCGCCGGGCCCCTGCGACCACATGTCCCCGTCCCTTCCGCAGAGATGGGCCCTGGTCCCAGGCCCTCGGCACCTCCGTGGCTCCTGTGCCTTCAAACACGACTCCCGCCTCAAAGGTGTCCCTACCCTTCCTCACCCCGGAAAGCTGCCGGGACCCCAGCTTCTCTGAGGACCTCCCTCTCCAGCTCACAGCGCTCCCGCCACCCCTCCTGCTGTCATCCTGGGCGACCTCAGGTCCCCACGGACAGGCCACCGTCTGCGTCTCAGCACTCTGTCCCCTCCTCCTCTGAACCCCCGGGAGCTGGAGGAGACAGAAACACGGCCCTGGGAGCCGCAGCAATGACTCTTGTCCCCAAAGAGCAGAAAACCGGGGGCAAGCTTCTGGGACTTTATTTTACCCATTCATTTCCTCACAGTATTTCCAACGTTTAAGAAAAATGTCCTTCCGAAATACTGTGAACTGAGATGCACTCAGAACACGAGAGGAAACACCAGCTTAAAATTATTGGGATGATTGTGATTTTTTTTTCCTGATTTAGCTTATCAAGTCCTCAGAAAGTAGTGCATGGACCACCTGAAGGACAGGTATCTAGATTTTTGTTAAAAACAAATTTCCGTACCGCACCTAGATGTGCTGAGTCAGAACCTCTGTGAGGCCCGGTGGGAATGTTCTTTGCTGACCATCTCCTGGGAGGGGTCCTCTGTCTGGCCAAGTCTGAGCACCACTTATGCGTGTGTGATTTTTCTGTCCTGGTCAATTACGAGTGGTGAGAAGGCGGCCCACCTGCATGCTGCCGCTTTGTTGAAAAGTTAAAGACTCTCAGCTCAGAGCTGGGTCCCTGGGTGTGGGTCCCAGCGTCCGTGGGACTTGGCCCAGAGCTGGGGCAGTAGCTTGGCCTCGGAGGTCCGCCAAGCGCAGGAACTGGAGCTGAAATGATGAAGGGAGCCATGGGGACCGTGCTGGGCACTGCCCAACCCTTTGGAAGGTCTTCCAGATGAGAGGGGGAGTGGAAACTTTCCCCTTCTGAAACACAAAAGACTAAAGGCCACGTTGTGCCAAAGGCAGTTTTGGCAACTCCACTTCACAGTGGACAAAGTGAAGGCCAATAAAAAATAAAAGCCATTTTTCGAGTTGACTTGAAATGATGGAAAAGTGGGAAAGATCTATTTGGGTAATTAGTTTGAATGCAAGTGCCCCGAGGAATATTTTGCAATTTCGTGTAAGTGGTAAGAATGTGCATTTTCTTGGACTTCAGGCAGGGGATTGTCTGTTCCCGCCCGTCTGTTGAGTGGAGTGTCTGGCATTGTCAGCACTGCCCGTCCCTGATGCACACACAGCCCTTTCATCGGGCTCCCGGGAGCAGGCCCACCGAGGCCCCCGGTTCTAGCCACAGAGCAGGGCCCTGGGCCACCCGGATACCCTTGGAAGAGGAGCCCTCCGCCATCTCTCTCATTTGTTTTTTCTCTCTTTTTTTCTTTTTAAATTTTTAATTATGGGAAAACACATAACATAACATTTACCATCTCAACAATTTTAAGGCCGTGAAGTGCATTCTCGCTGTTGTACAACCATCCACCTTCAGGCCTCTTTTCAATATGCAAAACCCCATTCAAGAGTGACTCCATTCCCCTCCCCCAGCCCTGGGAACCTCCACCCTGCTTCCTCTCCCCCTGGGTCTGACTCCTCAGGGTGCCTCATGTGAGTAGGATCATGAGGATCAGGTAGTAGTTGTTCTTTTGAGACTTAGCACGGTGTCCTCTGGGATCATCCAGGCTGTAAGTGCGTCGGAATTCCCTTCCTCTCCGGGGCTGAGTAACAGTCTCTGTGCGTCTACTTTGATCCACTCTCTACACTCTGAAAATGAACATCCCACAGCATCACTGTGCTCCCAGCTTCTTCCTGGCTTCAGGGCCTCAATAATCTCGCCCTGACCCGACATCACCAAATAACTGCATCAGACTCCTATGGTCCAGCCAAATTGAACTATGTTCTTTGAAAACATTCTTGCCTTCCCACTATGTTGTTCCTATTACTGGTACTGCCTGGGTGTCATTTCCCCTCTCTCTTAATTACCTCATCACGTGCCTCCTCCAACATCACACCATCCACCTACCCCATGCCTCTCCCCTGCATCCCCTCCCTCCCCACCCCTGCCCATGACCATGCCTCTCTCGGCTCCCTTCACCCAGTCCGCCTAGGAAACCCCTTCTAGTCTCCTTGCTTTAGCTACACCCCAGGCTGGGGTTCCCAGATCTCTTCCTCCAGCCACACCAGGCTGTGGACTCTAACGTTGAGCTCGTCATCGAACCCCAACCTGCCTCCTCTTTGTCCGACGGCATCACCATCAGCTCCTCTGCCCCCACGTTGGGAACCAAAGGGTCAAGCCAGACTTCTCCGGCGCCGACCCCACACCCTGTGGAAGGCGCCCTGCCAGGGAAGGCGCTGGCTTTCCTTTAAATGGGTTCTTCTCTCAACCTAGCCAAATGCCCGGAAGTCTCACTGAGGGTAAACAGAAGGGGGATGTGTGCCTTCTGGAAGCTTCCTCGTAAACAGTCACCATAGTCACCTCTGGGTGGGTCCGAATCACATTCATTCCTGGTGCTTGACCAGATTGAGATGACCCATTTCCCAGCACCTGGCTCGGAAGGTCAATGAGGCATTCCCACTCTCGATTAGATGTGCCCCCAAGATAAGGCTCTGCCTTCACCATGGGTGCAGTGGACATGAATTTAAAGGAAAGCCAGCGCCTTCCCTGGCCAGGGGCCTTCCACACACCCATGGGAAAGCCTAACTTCACCACCTACATGTTTCTCGTTTCTTCTGCCGCTCATCCAGCTCAACCCCTCACCCTCTCTTCCCTGAAACACTGCAACAGTTTCTAAGGGTTCTCCCACTCTTGCTCCCGCAACACCCTTCTCCACACCTGGCCTTCTCTGCCTAAAGCTCTAGTGACGCCCACCACCCGGTCTGTTTCGCACACGCACGCACTGTCCTCCATGATCCCAGTCCTTCGCCAATCAGGCTTTCTGCCAATTCCTGCCTCCCTGCTCAGTCTAGAACAACCTGGAATGGTCATGATTCCCTGACATCGTGCAGTTTCCTGCCGCCTGCTGCTAACCCCCCATCTGTGCCCCCAACAGCTCCTAATCCCGAAACTCACTCTGTGAGGTGTTCCTTGCGTTGGTGTGGCCCTGATGAGACGCCTGCTCGGAGCACCACGTGTTCCTGAGGAGCAGCATGTACTATGGTGGCTAAGAGCTTGGTGCTTGTCGTAAGAACCGGGTTTGAATTCCATATTTTCAACTCTGGAACCTCCCCAATGTACTTAGCTTCTCTGAGTACTGGTTTTCTCATCTCAAAAATGGGGATAGCAATACCTACCTTGTGCGTTTACTGGGTGAAACAAATGGGAAAATGCTTGTAAAGAGGTTAGTAAGTGCTTAATAAATTATAACTATTGTTCTTATCCCATTCGAGCTGATGTGTATTTCTTCCTTTACAT